TGGATGTTTGCTTTTTTCTCTCCTTAGCATTTGTTCTCCTTATTGAGACAGAAGGAAAAATGGGAGTAAGGGACAAAAGAGAAGGTTCTAGTGGTATTTGGTATTCTTCCTAGAATAATGATGTGTCTATTGCACTTGTGAGACCTATTAAAGATTATAGTCAGGGTGTTGCTCCAAAATAAGAGACGGATTTTCTCGTTACTTGAAAGTCATATGTTTTTTAAAATGAAATGTGCTCATGTGAAAAGCCCCTTAATGTTTTTGTATCTGACATATGTACAGTTGCTTTGTCACTTAATTGTGCAAGTGAAGAATACACAGTATTTTGCTTTGTGTTTTCCTTCCATTTGTTCATCCCTTTATTGTGCTCTTGTTTGTATAGGCACATCATGCCATAGTGATAATGTTGTAGCACACATATTTTTTTCTCTGTATGGATACATGTGGCTTTACAGGGCTGAATGTTGTTTATTCTGTAGGATGTCTTTTATTTTTGAGTTTCAATTCACAGGCCAAGGAACATATTTTGCTTTGTGTTCCTTATCATTATGGTTGAATACAGTTGGCAGAAGATGTCATTATTTTTCTCTCTCTCCTGTCTCGTGTCTCTCCCTTTGTCTGTCCCTCTGCCTTTCTCCCTGCATCAATTCACATAAATTGCACTTCATTGACATGACAGGAATCAAACCTATGCAGCCAACGCAATAGAGGATATCGACTCCTACATTCTGTATTATAGACTTTATTAGACAACTGTCCCTCTCTTTCTATCTATCTGTGTCTCTACCAGCTGTGGCTTTAACTTCATGCTTAGAATAGCAATCTATCTGTAGAGTAATGTTACATTTAACTTCCCTTATGTGGAGGGTGCATATCTTAACACTTGATATGAATTGGTCCGTCATGCGAGTGGTGGCTCTGCCTGGACTAAAGATAGCAAATTCCATACAGTCGAGGCTTTTTTACCTTTTATGTCCCTGGCCATGCATTAAAAATAAAACAAACATGCCCCAGCATACAGCAGGGTCCTGACAATATGCTGCTCCGACATACGAACATATAAACTAAACAGTCAGGGGCTGCCCGACATAAAGTAAACTCCTAGCATGTGCAGTCCAGACACTTGTCTCTCCTGTCCCGTCTTAATGAAGGAGTTGGGCTGTTCTGTGTATTACCTAAAAAAACCTATAGTTTCTTTCAAACTATAGATGCAAGGTGGCAAACCTTAATTATTTCAGGTTGGATATGAACAAAACATTTAGGTGTATCACCTCCTATATGTGTGTTGCAATAAAATTAAATATTATACAGCATATAATAAATGGATGGGCCATGTAAACATTCACAACAAACAGCTCCAACTCTAGATCATGTTAAATGGGAATTCATAAATTGGAAGTTTGGGTGAAAGGCACAAGTTGCTGCACTCTAGGCAGTTTTTAATATATCTTCTTGACATGTTTCGTTCAGAAAAGTATTGTTGAGAGTCGACAATTTATAAAACTGCTTTGGCATTACTGTTTCTTACAGTCAGGTCAGTAAGCAAAATGAGTATTTAAATTTAACTGAGGAAAGGAAGTGTTTAAAGTGCGGACAGGGACCCCTGGTTGGGTGTAATCTGGTGTGTAAATATGGTGGTTTAGGTAGAGAGGAGTAAGGTGTGGGTGGCTGGGGTGCTCTGAAAGGCCTCAGACACTGCCATGAGGCCAGGGGCTGTTTGTGTTGGCTGACACCTTCCTAACAGCAGTAATCCAGTCTTTCTCCAGCTGGCTAGCTACTACACCTCCCCCTTCCTTTTTTCCTTCCTTCCATCCTTCCTTCCTTCCCTCCCTCCTAAAGGCAACAAAAATGGTCTCTCACTTCATTCCTTCTTTTTTTTCCTTTCTCACACTGCTCACACTGCTATTTTTGCTTATCTCTCTCTTCTTTTCTATCTTGCGCTCCCTCTGCATTCTGATCTCAGTAGTCCAAAAAAGTAGAATAATCTTTAAATTGACTACAGCAACCAAAGACCATGAGATGATGTTTTGTTTCTTTTTCTCTCTCTTTTTTTACTGTGGATTGTAGTGAAACCTCACACCAGCCACTGCCCATTCAGTAAAAAATTAATTTCCTGTGTGTTGTCACTTAATTATTTAAAAAATGCTCATCATGTGATGTCAGCGATATGTAATTTACCACTACTGGCGTCAGGGTCACCCGATTGATTTATTATAGAAGCCCTTTAATGTGAACAGCTGTTTCCTACTAAAAATAGGTCAGGGGTCAGATAAAATGACCTTGTTCCCTTTTTTGTCCTCGCATTGAGATAGAAAGCTGTGAGGTGGGAAATGTTAATGTTTGATTCAGATGGACCGTCTGTCACAGTCTGTTTGGTTTCACTTAATGCAACGGGGCCAGTATTAGTGATCATTACAAAGTGTGTATGGTCTGATCAATGTCCTCACCTTCTGAAATGATGACTAAAAGGCTTTTTACTTGATTACATATTTTACTGTATAATTGAGTTTACGTGAACATGTTTTATTATCATTCTGTGTGTCACTGGAGAGATTTATTTCCCCAGTGTAAATGCTGTAAATTATTTCTACCATGCCGGGAAATCATCACAGGCATTTATTATCTCAAATGTAAAGACATAGACCTTACCTGCACAAAATATTAGCTTATGACCAGCGTATTATCCCTGTACTTGTCAAACCCTTTTTTCTCCTCTGTCTGACTCTCAATCTATATCCCTTATCATCTGAAGTCTAGCCATTTGAAGACTAGCCGTGTGGCTCTTGTGTTCACTGTGGAAGTTGGAGGAAGGACTTAGGGAGTGGTTCAGGGGCCCTCAGCCGCGGCACTTCCCACCAGAGCGACCTCTGACCCTTGGTGCCATTAATCACTAGGCTCCTGATGGCCGTGTCCCTGGGGGAAAATCAGTCCGGGGCAAAGGATGATGGGAGGTGAAGCCTGCAGCCAATTACAGATTGGCTCAGAGCAGCCGAGTGGACAAATCAGGGCTTTAGAGAGAGATGAAATGCCCAATAGTTGCCTACTGGAGGCCTGTATGCCTAATGCCATGAAGTGGTCTTGTATCGTTGCTGCTCGTGATGTCCCTCTAAAGAAAAATAAGCCATACGGTTGAAATGGGAACAATTATAAGAGCGGAACAAAGTGCATGTTAGACAGACTGTGAGACAGAGAAGTTGTGCTGCTGTGATCAAAAGAGATGTTTTGGACTGGTCTAATTAAGCCTGTTAGAGCTAAATGTCTCCAGGGTTGGAACTGGAGCAGATGTTGAACACCAAAGGCAAGCGGCACGTTGATTCTCTCAAATTAGGGAACTCTCTGGCTAACTGCCCAAGTGTTGCTAATGTGATTTTTGGTCAATTACGGTATTATCAAAGGTGCTTTCCCAGTGCTTTCATATGGGGTCGGGGCCAAGCTGAAATGTTAAACCTGGCTGATGTCAAGTGTTGACTAATTAATGCTGTTTTAGGTTTCAAAACCACCTCTGGTTGACTTAAGATGTATAGCTTATTGGTTTACTCTCATACAAACACACACTGCCCTACTATCTGAAATTTCTCCTGAAATCTCTGTCTGTTTTTTGGCTGGCTTTGTGTGGTTATGTGTTCTGAAAATAGTTCCTTGTAAAAACATTAAATCTGGTCTGATTTGACAGCAGATGCTGATAAAGGAGTGGATAAAGGCATAGGCGTGAATTAAAGCCTAACTAACTGCTGGCCTGTCACTATGGGGCCAGTGCTGTTGTCTCATTTGTTGTGCTCTCATTGTTCACGTCCGGGCCAGTATGAAAACATGGCTTCCTGCTGACCTGCAGTTTAATTCACACATCAATAACCCCTAGCTGATCTCTGACCCCTCTAGTTGTACTAATTGTTTGATGCAGGATTGATGTCTAACGCTGCATTAAATAACTAGCGAGGTGCTGGCAGCACGGCATTCCCGATGCTTTCATCCACTGCATTTTCTGGAAATGTAGCTACTGCCCAGAGTTGTAGTGGAAGGTCTTCCATCTACATTTATTTTACCAAACCACCTCAAAATAAAGTTCTTTTCAGTCATAGGAATGTGATGAACAAATTTTGAACTACTGGAGAACAGGAGAAGACTTATTGCCTATTATACGATTACATTACTGGTTGTAATTTATACACATTCATTGTGTATATATATTGAATGTGTATGTATTGTTAACTTGGTTGCAACTCATTTTAAAACGTTATATCAGTGCAATAAAATAAATCCCGTTTTAAAAATAACTACCACCTATTGTTAAAAGTAAAAAACAATGAATATGTGTTTGGAAGAATTATGGCTA